ACATGAACACAGTAGCTCAATGCTCCACTCCCTTCGCTGCCAATTCAAGGTCCTTGAATTGGTCTCTGGCCAATTCAAGGTCCTGACTTGTTTTCCGAGGATATGGGACACTTAGGGACGAACTCTTTCTCTGCAGCTGCACTTGCACCTACAAGACGTGCTCAGGGCTGATCTCAAAAGTCCACTGACATCATGCCCCAAATAAGGGAAGTTTGTGAAAGTTGAGTGACTCAGCTTTTTCTGTAGCACATCCATAAACGTGGAACTCCCTCCTTTAACAGAGGACAATCCTGAATCTCAGTAGAACTAAACATACACTATGGAAACAAACCAAGGACTGAATGTTTTACTAAGTCTTAATTATTTTTCTATACCCTGAGTTTTGCACATACAGTCATTTAGGCAGTTAGATGGTTTTATCCAAGCCAACTGCATCACTGCTCTCACCATTCTGTCTTCAGTGCAAGGACCACTTTTTTGGCAGAACTCAGCTTCTATGTACGCAAGGTCTCAGTGGGAACTGTTGGGGGCTGAGTGCTTATCAAGATGTGACCCACGCATAACAGTTCACAGAAGATAGTCACAAGCCTTTTCTCAGATAACGCTCTTGCATACAGAAGCAAGAGTGACTTGGCTGGCTGAGCCTTAAATTCATTGTGTATGAGGCTCTCAGGCACTTCAGCAGACTGTGTGGCTTAGATGCATTAGACAGTAGAAGGTCAAATATAGAGGTAATGCTGTTTATTCCCACCCTGCCCTTGACTGTAACATGCTTCAGTTTTTATTCTGGCAGGGAATAGGGTAGCATGGAATGATTTTCTTGGCTGAAGAATGGTAGAGCTGCCAAACCCCTCTAGATAGGCTTTCTTGATGCCCTCCAAACTCAGCCCAATTGTCCTCCTCTTCTGCCAAAGACATTCCAGTTCAGAAAGTCTGTTTGTTTTAGTAAATCAGGTTAGTCAGCAGCAGAACATACAGCACCTGGCATCAATATTCAGAAATAAATGTTTTAGAAGTAGGCACCAGGTAAACAACTGATAACTCCTGCACCCTCTACCCAGTAAAATGCATGCACATTTGTTTTACTGCTAAAAGAGCAATGCAGGATACACCTTAAGACATTATCAGGAATCCTAGTTTAGTCTATGGCTAAATCCTATCATCATGACTCACACATTAATCCCTGTAGTTTGGCCTAATTCCACTTGCTTAAGGCTTCTGTTTACCTGAGTTTCAGCTTGAGAAGAAGCGTGCCTTTCATTTATTCCCTGTCCTGAAGGAATGTAGGGCGCTACTGTAAACTGCAAGTGGGTGCTTTGCCCCCACCCCAAAGTAGCTTTCACTTTAGTAATGGGTGAAACTATTGGTACACATGGATTCGGAGACAGTATCTTCTGATCCCAACCCACTGATGGCAATAGGTTTCTGATGTCTCTTCAGAGCAATGTGGCCTAACAGATAGAGCCACAATGTACTGGGACTAAGGCACTATTCATTGGTCTGACAATGGCTTGCTGGGTAACCTTAAGCAAGCCATTTCACCAGTCATGCCTCAGTTTCCCCAAGTACAAAATGGGGTCAAAGATACAGACATCTCTTGTGAAACTTAACAGCTGCACTAAGGTATCATTAGCCTTTTTTTTGCCAGAATGCAGAGAGTGGAGCAGGAAGCACCAGTTCTGCTGCCACAGTATGGGCTTCCCATACACTGGCTACTTACTGTTGCTGCTGTAATGGCATCCCTGCTAAGTCAGCACCCAGGGCTGGTACCCAGCTTGCCCACCCCTAGTTATGCTACCGCACTAAGGACAAAATATATGTGGAGTGAGGTATTATTATTACTGCCCACATACTTTAAACGCCTTAAGTATGTTGTTGGTCTAAAGCCAGAGATGCAAAGGTTTGATTATATTTTAATCCTATGTTTTGGGTGTACAGTTATTTACCCCAGAACAGCTGATATTAAAAAAAAAAAAAGTTAAACTGCCAGCAGTGCCAGCCTCTTACAGGATCAAGCAGCTAACTTGGAGATTTACTGGGATAAAAAGCTATATAGGCTAAAATATTACTGCAATTGCTTTGAAAACCAGTTATATTTGCTTGCATTTTGTATAGCTGCTGCTTATTGATATACTTAGAAGTAAACTTATCAGTCCTACAAAGGAACTGTAATGCTTAACTGACAGAGACATAATAAAACGGGTTTGAAGTGAATCTTCAGAATAGGTGAAAGGACAGTTCATGTTAGTAGCAGCAAGTGAAGTCAGGTTTATGCTCTTAGGAGAAAGGATTGCAAGGACCGCAGGGAATTTAAAATTAGAATGTTTAGCAGAAACGTACTGCTTCAGCCTGCAAATCAAACCCCTATGGGATGCTATTGTGATAAACAGAAGCAAGCTGAAAATACATGCAAAAATAGGTGAAAGTTCAACAGTCACATTTAAAGCAACATAAAACCGTTTGGTGTTGTAACAACCAGTATGGGAGGCAAGGGAACATTTAGTTCTACTGAAAGTATCCTCGGTAATGTATACTTTGTATTGTACTCTATGCATTAAAAATGGCCTTTGAAAATAACAGCCCTTGCGGCTATAATTTTTATTGCACCAGCTGTATAGTTAAGAGATGCTAGACAAGTTTTGGGGCACAAAGTGCCCCTAAGCAAGGGCACAGAAGTGCTTGAAAGCTTGTCTAACATTTCTCCCAACTATACAGTTGGCCCAATAGAGTTATATATCAACCGAAATCGCTTCACCTCTTGCACATTTGCTGGATCATCACAGCTACAAAAACGTAAATAAGAAAGAATTCTTGATTTCAGACTTCTGATTTTAGCTTACGCAAATAGTGGCTGGGACTTGCAGGGTTGCGCAGAGTCCATTTTTAATGGGAGTCAGCCAATTCTGACGTCCTGCCTTCTTTCAGCTTTGGAAATCCAGCTAATAATTTGCCAACCATTTTCTGTTTCTCCTCGAAACAAACTCTTGAAGGCTGAAGGGTTAATATACATTATGTACTATATATAACAACATGTATATAAATGGATCACACCCAGTTCTGCCTTTGTTCTGTATTATACTCACCTGTTTCCTTCTTAAGAATGGAGGCAGTCAGCTGTGTTAGTCTTAAGTCAAGGCAGGGGAGGATGACACCTTAGAAATTAACTGGCTCAGAGAAGCATATGTTTTTGCAGGCAACAGCTTTTGTCTGATGTAGATGTCAGAAGCTGGTCATTGCTCAAGAAAGCTTGTGCCTCTCTGAGCCCATTACTCTCTAAGGCAGGGGTGGGCAAAACGCGGCCCGGGGGCAGGATGCGGCTCGCCAGGCCATTCTATCTGGCCTGCGGGGCCTCTAAAAAATTTAGAAAATTAATATGCGTCTGCCCTGGGCTGCCTGTCATGCGGCCCTCGATGGCTTGCCAAAACTCAGTAAGCGGCCCTCTGCCCAAAATAATTGCCTGCCCCTGCTCTAAGGTGCCAGCCTGCTCTGTCCTGCCTTTCCTTATTTACTTAGGGCAGGGAGTCTTACTTGTTCAGTATTTTTCACCCAGGAGTGCAGCATGTCTCTCTAATGTGCTATGTAAATAATAATGATCATAATGATGATACTGGTATGAACTAGAGAGTAAACTCCATATATGAAAAGCAGGAGCACGTATTGTTTCAAAGGCTATGTTCTCCTTCAACCAGATGTTATGGACTTGAAGAAGAAATTGCCAGATCAAATTCTGTGTGTTGTTATACAGGAAGTCCCACTACTACATGATCACAGTGGGCTTCTTCTGGCTTTAAAGTCTGTGAATTGATTAAGGTTCAAGTTCACAATTGCATTACTTGAGATGCTCATGTGGCACAAATGAAGGTCACACAAGGTTCTGGGCACTCTTAACTTCTGTTGAAGAAGGGATCTGTTATGGAGCCCTTTCACATGACTTGGCCCATACCCCTGAAAGACTTGCTATGTTGTGCGTGAGGAAAAAGCCTGTTCAGCTCTGTTAAAGTTCTGATCTTGGTCTGTGGAAAAGAGCTGAGGCACATCCATTAAAATATCGCAAACTGTTTTCTAAAACTGTGCATCATATACACAGTATTAATAAAATGAGTATTAGCAAAGAAAAATAGTTTTTTGGGCTTTTTTAGAAATGCTTAAAAACAGGCAACCCTATTGCAAGGGTCCCTCTAAAAAGATTAGGCTACAGCAGCCAAAGGGGAACGAAGTTGATACAAGACACTTATGTAAAAGGTTTTGTAACCTCTGGTCCATACCACAGAAAAACGACAGAGGAGACATGGGGAGGGGAAGATCAGAGAATGACAGATGTGTCAGTCACAGGTGACCCATATTCGAGTACACTCAGGCCCCCAGCACCCTAGGATGCTTCCCACCTCCTCAGCAAACCCCTTCCTTGCAAGGTGGGCAAGCTAGCCGGCGCCTAGGAGGTGTGCTCCAGCGCCCCGAGGGCTCCTGGCCTGAGCCGCTGCAGGCTGCATTTCCAGAATCAGAAGTGGACATCTGTTCACTTGCTTATCCGTTCAATCTACGCAGCTCAGACCAGCCCAAGGCTTTCTGACTGTCTGTACTTAGACAAGTGCGGAAAGGCAGAAGGGTTTTACTTTAGAGCAAAACCCCAAACACTACCTTTGCTACATTAGAAAGAGCTTCCCTAAGGGGGGGGGGGGGAAAGCATCCAGCACCTTTCCAGGTTGCAACTACATGAACATAAAGGATTTTCGCTAGGTATCCAGCAAGCAAGAGCAATGGCTGCCAAGTGATAGTGGCAGTGCCTCTTCCTTGCCCTGGCTCTGCCTTGCTTCTGGCAGGGGCTGCAAGAGCCAGGAGGCAGGGAGCGGGCTGAGGGGCAGCGGACAGCAGCATCCCCCTCTCGGCTTAGGGGAGGCTGCTGCAGCGAGGGCTTCATCGCCCCGCTTGCCACCTGCCCTGCTTCCTCCGCTGCAGGCCGCCCCGCTGCCGGCTGCCGGGAGGAGGGGGCTGCTCCTTACCGTATCCTGGATGGCCCGGAAAGAAGCATCCATGAGCATGAGCTTCCAGGGCTCCGACATGGTGCCGGGCAGCGGCAGGTACACGTAGTAGGCGCCCAGCGCGGCCAGCGCCGGCAGCAGCACCACGGCAGTCCTCATCGCGGCGGCCCGGCCGGCTCCCCGACTCCCGGGCCCGGCTGCAAGGCGGTGGCTCCGCCGCTCTTCTCGCCCCGAGCCAATCGGCGGGGCGGCAGGGGAGGAAGTGCGGCTCTGCCTTGCCCAGCGCCTGTGCCAGAGGCGGGGCGACCCGGGGGCCCCCCCCCTCTGTCCTTGCAGCCGTGAGGGTCTGGTTGTGATTCAGAGGCTGTGCCCGGGCTCCTTTCCTCCAAGCATGTGCGCATCTGGTTGAATTGTCACTTCTTCCCCATCCGCTGGCAACAAGCTCCACCGCCAAATGAGGCGGGGTGTAAAAGAGCTTCCCTTGGTTAGGCTTCAACTCAAGTTTCATCTTGTGACCCCCTAATTCCTGTATTAGGAGAGAGAGTAAATAATCAGCCCCTGTCTACTTTCCCTTTGCCCTTTAGGAGTTTTGCAAACCCTTACCCTGTCTCTTTTCTGAACCGAATAGGCCTGGCCTCCTCAATCTCCCTCCGTACCACTAACTGCCCCGGCTGCCCTTCCCTGGACCTTCTCTACGCTCCCGACGTTTTGGGTCTTCTTGACGTTCCTGGGGCAAGGTTCGAAGGACGCGTTGAAGGCACGCCTCAAGAAAATGGATGCTGACGTCAAGGTGTGAGAAGAGCTGGCTGATTCCAGCGGTGCTGCAACCTCAGCCACATTGTCCATTTTGAGGTAAAGCATCTTGCCTCAAAGCAAAGACGAGAGCGCAGGGGAACCAAAAGGAGTGGAACCCCAGCCTGCAGCTAGCTCGTCCCTGCAGAAAGACCTGCAATTTCTGCAGATGGGTCTGTGGCTCAAGGATTGTCGTCTCAAGATCCAACAATGAGCCCTCGAGATCATCCTCGAATCAAGGGATTGCCGACAATGACAGTTCCCGGTTCCCCATTCAGCCTCATTGCTGGTCAGCGATGATGCTGAAGTTGATTCCTGCCTCCCGGTTCCTTCTTGCCACGTTCTCTTTGCACAATAATAAATGACTTGGCAACCCATGCGATGTGGTAGTGTTCCATTTTCCATCACCTGTGTTTCCTAATAACAATATAATTTGCTCATAAAACTTGCTAATAAAACAGTGTGAGATCTGACGAAGAATGTCTTGCATGCCTAAGCTTGTCTAACTTTATTCCCACCGCATAGTTGGTTCAATAAAAGATACAGTCCTAAGAAGTCCTTGCCTCTGGCACAACTTCTGGGCTACCGCAGCTACAACATCACTCTTAGACTATATTGCATGCAGTATCAGAACTAGGGAATGCTGGCCCCAGTGCAAGCATAATTGTTGTCCCCTCACCCCATAAAACCACACAAAATGCACAAGCACGCGCACAATAATAATATATATGTATGTAACAGCACTGGGCGTGCTGCTGGCCTGGAAAGAGCTCCTGAGCAAGCAGCAAGCAGAGGGAGGCTATGCTCCCAGGGGTTAAGAGGAGGCAGCTATAGAGCTGAGGTAGGGTGCAGTGGTTTAGGGATTGAGACTAGGGGCAGTGGTGGTCTCAGCTGGCCTGGGAGCAGGGTGCAACCAGGAGCCAGAGAGGATGCAGGCCCAGGGGCAGGAGCAGGGCAGAGTGAATGGTAGCATCTGCAAGGCTTGGGCATGGTGTAAGAAGTGATTGGAGTCATGTAATAAGCCCTTACAGTGCTGAGTAGCAGCACCTAAACAGCAGCATTGGCTCAGGGATCCTTGGGTAGCCTTCCTCTCCAGGGATTTAATAACAACAGGGTGTAGCAGGTGAGATGAAGGGGAGCAAGCCTGAGAGATGAGGGCAGAGCAGGAGCTAAGGAGCTCATCACCAAGGAGGACTATTCGGCAGTTGCTCGGGGGGTGTAGGGGGGTAGTTAGGAAGGCCAAGGCAGAGATGGAACTGGGACTAGCTTCCCGGATTAAGGACAACAAGAAGACCTTTTTTAAATACATAGGGAGTAAAAAGAAGGCCCCGGGTAATGTGGGGCCCTTGCAGGACGCGACGGGGAATCTGGTTGTCACACCAGACGACAAAGCCAACATATTTAATGATTTCTTTGCCTCTGTCTTCCTCAGTAAGGACCAGAACTGCCACCTCCCTGCTAGGCCCCCATCGGGCCCCGAGGGAGGCACACCTGAGCCCAGGGTAAGTGAGGATCTAGTTAGGGAGCTGCTGGAGGGGCTGGACATTTTTAAGTCAGCCGGTCCAGATGATCTTGCTGACTCTTATTGAACTATATTTCAAGCAGAAAATGGTTTTGGGGCTGCTATTTGTTAAGAAATGATTCTACTTGCTGAATCCGATTCATAGTGGAAGTGAACTCTCTGTGGATCTTTCTGTTGATGTTTTTGGGGACTCTTGGTTTATTTTATTATTACTGCATTGAATAAAATGTATTTCACTACAATACTACCAGAAACAGAAGTTATCATATACTTCTTCCGACATCTACTTATGATAGTAGACATTACATCCATTAGTTCTGGATACAGCAACATAAGATTGTTGTAACAATCTTAAGAGTTAGATTACTTTTGTTTTACAGCTTTCATACTTTTTATTGGTTTCTATCAAACTGATACTTCTTGGGAACCTATGGGTCCTTCTCGGCCTGGAAGGACGTGGGCAGTGGGGTCCCGCAGGGCTCGGTCCTCAGGCCCGCCCTGTTCAACATCTTCATCAGTGATTTGGATGAGGGGGTGCAAAGCACCCTGTTCAAATTTGCTGATGACACCAAGATGTGGGGGGATGTGGGCACAATAGAAGGGAGCAACAGGCTACAGTTGGACCTTGACAGGTTACAAGGATGGGCGGAGGAGAACAGGATGGGGTTCAACACAGACAAGTGCAAGGTGATGCACCTGGGGAGGAGCAACCGGCACCATACCTACAGGCTGGGGAAATCCCCTCTTGTCAGCACGGAGGTGGAAAAGGATCTTGGAGTCATTATTGGGGGAACACTGTGTTTTACCTGTGCAGGTCTCCAGGTTTCACATGCTCTGGAAGTTGCTGTGCCAGTTGGGGGACAGGGTTAAAAGACCAGGAGAAAATGTCCATTGTTGGCAATGCCTAAAACCTGTGCCCCCCTGAAAGCAAGGTTACATATTACCATTGTTAAAATGGCATTGATAAGACACTCAAGTAGTCGTCTCCAGAAGCTCTGTGCTCTCTGGATTTCTTTTTTGTATTTTTTAACAGCAATGCCACGTAATCTCCACTGCTGAAACACTATGCAAGCATTTGAGTGTGCATGCGAAGTTTCATGATTATCTGTCCTGTCAGGTAAATGACACTAGTCTCTAGCACCTCTCACCCATGCCGCATTACATATGGAAGAACTACAGTCAGCAAAGAGCCAACATGGCTTGCGGTATGCACCATCCAACTTAAGTGAATAACAAAGCCATGTTTGGGGTACGATCACTCCAGCCTTTGTTCTTTGTTCTAGTACCCTGCATTTTGGCTAAGATCAAGTTTAGCTTGTACTCCTTCCATGAACAGTTGTTGATCTTTCTGTTGCAATCACAATCACCAATATCAGCACAGTGAAGAAAGGTGTTTGTTTTGGTTAATTTTGCAGATAGTTTCAACTCTTCCTTCTTTCCTATTGCTTTTGTGCCCCACTTTATGTTTAGGTGGCAGTCTCAAGAATAGTTAGGCTTGGCAGGATTTGATCTTTCTCAGTAAACGTTGATAAATTTTGATTTCATCTCACACTCACAGACCAACAAAAATATTTTAATTGTTAATAATCAAAATTTATAGAAAGGGGATGTAAGAAAAATGATGGCTGATGGAGTGTGTGATGATGAGAGGGGGAGCAATCCTACAGAACTGTGCTGACTGTAGTTTGGATTGCAACTCCCAGAAACCCCAGGGGACTGGGAACAAAGGAAGAGGAAGTGACAAAAAAAAGTGGATGAGGGAGCTACAAGTGAGTGGAACTGGGACTGACAGCTAGAGATCTACCCAAATCGTGGCAAAAGTGCACTGCTCAACAGCTCTTTTCATCTTGCTTTTTTGCCATGTGTTCCTGCCCCCTCCTCCCCCACCACTGATTGCTGGAGAGGCCCCAATGGCCTCACTACTCACTGACAGACCAAGAGGCAAAAACCATGGTTTTAAATACACCATGGTTTTTGCCATATAAATATGTATGTTGTTTGTGTACATGCTGTGCTTTTGGGAAAAAAGGGGTGAAAACCTGGATCTTCCTAGTGGGGGGCCAGGGCTGCACTTGGGGTGAGTGGGGGCAGCACTGAGGGGGGTGACTATGGGGGGCTACAGCCACCTCCAAATTCACTGTAGCCCCGATTCTCAGCGCTGCCGCACCTGCCCCACGTGCAGCCCTGGCCCAGCCCCTCTGCTGGGAAGAGGCTGGCACTGCCCCTGGCCCCAGCCCACAGTGGCAGCCCAGCCTCACCCCATGCACAGATTCAGGGGGCCTGTGCCCACCATGGCTCTCCCAGGGGTGCGCGCAGTGGCAGGAGTCCCCTCTCTGGACGAGCTGCTTGCAGTTCTGTCCCATACCCAGTCCCAGTCACATTCCCTCCTTTACCACAGGGGCCTCAATCTGCCCCCCTTACCTCTTTTCCCTCCCCCACAACAGACTTACCAGCTGGATGCTGCTCTCCAAGCTGCCAGGCTGCCTATTGGTATCTGCTAATATAGCTTGTTAATAATCAGCCATTGGAATCAGCCCAAAAAAACCTTTATTGGTGCACCCCTACAAATAACAAATTTAATATTTAAAGATGCACCCAATCCCCTAAAATACACATAAAGACATATCTATCAAGAGTGTTCCCTGAACCCAAGTCAATGCCCACAGGCATCTTGTGTTCTTTTCTTCTCCTCCTCTCAGCCTCTGACAGTTCTTTTATGTTTCAGTCAATCTTAAGCTTTTGTTTTTTGTCATCTCTATATACTGTATTCATCAAAATCCAAGACAAACCTGAATTTAGGATGATCCCCCCTATAGTTAGATTCTATACATGGAAAAATTACAAATTTGTTAACATTTCCATGAATTGAATCTAATTATTGGAGGTTCATCTTAAATTTTTCTCCCCATGCTGCAGTGTGAAAAGCAGTGGCAGTGTGGCAGGTGGTGAGGTGGCAGGTGGAAAGTATTGTGGGACAGTGAGTGGTACTCCACACCACTCATCTCCCTGCTGCCTGCCTCACTGT